TGATAAAAGTATTAGAATTACAACCGCTAATTTTTTTTAATTTTTATATCACCATATTTTTATTTAAAATGTATTCTTTTCTCTCGCTTCGTCTGCCATTACTAGCATAAAAAATCTCCAGTCGGGCCGCAATGCATTATGGGATACGCTGGGCCGGGAAGGATCCATCAGACCTGTCCTTCGATTCGGGTCAATGGAAGGATGTATTTGTCGGCCGCATCGAGTCTTCAGTTTTGGACGTCCTTCGTRGCGGCGCTGTGACGTATGCGGCCGACGAATTCGACCTTCAGAGGACCTGACCTGTTGTTTTGGACACAGCCTATGAGCAGCTCACTCACTGCTGGTTCTGCAGTGATACATTTAGATTTTAGTGTTGTTAAATGCATGCCACAACCTAAAGCAGACAAGATAATCCAGGCTGACCCACAACGGATCATTGTTTGTAGAGCAGTGTTAGCGTTGGCAACACTGAAGGGCTAATGTTGCTTAGCTACGGTGGCTTGACAAGTCCAAAAAGGTGCATGTTTCCTGTAGCTGGTTTGGTTCCAGGCCGGTCTGTATTCACATCAGAACCAAACCACACCAGAGTTTGTGTGGAAGTGGACCGAAACCACCTCAAAGCTGGGTCTCCGTCCAGTTGTTTGGTTCGTATGAGTGGATTCACACCTGCATAAAAGGTCCGGACCAAAGGGGAAACAAACTCTGGTCTGTTTAATGAAGACGAAATGTGTCAGGTGAGACTAGACTAGACTAGACTAGACTAGACTAGACTAGACTAGACTAGAATAGAATAGAATAGAATAGAATAGAGCTTTATTGTTATTGTAGAAAGCACAATGAGAGAGTACATACATCGTAAGAATAGATTAAAACAATCTAAAGCAACCAGCCCCCTCAGTTTGACTGAGTTTTACTTTARTCCATGTTAATAAGCACAGAAAGTCGTACCTGGACCCTCCAGGCTGSTCATGTTGATGGCCGGCCCTCCGCTCTGTCCTCCCTGAGCGTTCTTCAGCTGCTGCTCTAACCGCTCCAGCTGAAACACCAGGGAGCTCTTCTCTGTGCCCAAAGCCTCCAGCATGGTCTGTTTCTGAATGAGTGTCTCTGTGAGCTGGTGGAGCCGGTTCTCCAGCTCCGTCTCACTGCTGCTGCTCAGAGTCTTATTGGTCAACTGGAAGAGCAGAGAAATACCACAGAGCTGAGTGATCCTGCACATGCAGAGCTTTATAAAATGTTACCCCAACATGCTACTCATTTATAGTAGCTAACCTGATTCCTGAGTTTCTGGATTTCATCTTCTCTGTATTTGATTTGGCTCTGTAGAGTGGTTTTGGCTCGATGCTGTTCATCTTCAAGGTACTGCAACTCCTGACAACAGATATTTCAACCATTATCACATACACTGCTGCTTTATGGTGGCTATTAGATGTTCCTGTAGTTTCTTACATGTTTGTAGCGTTCCACTTCAGCCTCTAACTCCTGCTTGGCACGGTTCTGTAAGGCCTGTTGCTCCTGCAACTGTACCTGCTGCTCCCGCCATGTCTCAGCCTCTGCGAGGGCCTGACTTTCTAAATCCTGTGAGGAAAAACACACAAKCACTTCTTTACAAGTGGATCACTCATATTTCTGTTGAGTTTGATTTAGGTTTCAAGCATCTAAAATGGAGGAGGGTTTATTTGTTTTGTTGCTTTGTCACCAGAAAGAATGTCTCCCACAGTCTGAACATCATCCAATCACACCATCTTTGTTTTTCTCACCACAAAAGAAAACACTGGAGTAAGGAAAGAAAGTCTTTCTGTCACTGTAGACTCTCACCTGTATTTCTGCTCGAAGTGTGCAGACTTGTTCCTGTAGTTTTTGATTCTCCTCCCTCTGAAGCTCCTTTTCATGACGAAGTTCCTCCACCTCCAGAGCCATGGTCACGCTGCCATCTCCAGTGTCCAGACCTGATCCTTCCTTCAAACTGCTGATCAGCTTCTCTTTGGACTAAAGGAAAAAGTAGATTTCAGTCAATTACCAGTTTTTATTTTATCTTTTCTGCTTCCACTCTTAGACCTAATAACATGTTCACAGAATACCTAAGAAAGTCCTAAGATGGCACCTTGAGAGTGGCAGTAACTCTTGACCTAGGCCTAATTCTTTTTCTTTATAGTGCATTTAMGACATTTATATTCTTAATTTGTTTTATTCTTACATATCTCATACACTGTTTGTGGCCCTCCTGATTATTTTCTCAATCTGTGACCGTGTGCTCTCAAGAATCCAGCGACTCTTCTANTAATAATAATAACAATAATAATAACAATAATAATAACAATAACAATAATAATAATACATTTTATTTACAAAGTGCCTTTCAGGACACCCAAGGACACTGTACAATAGAAAAGAAACATTTGTAAATACACAGACTGATAGGAGTCAGTAACAGTAACAGTCATGTAAAGAAATACAAAAAATAGATAAGTTGAACAATAGGGTTGTGGTGGAGAAACAGAAATGAGGACTACAAAACAGTCAAATATTGAGGAACAATCAGAGTTAACAGTGTACTAATGTTAACAGAGTTAACATTAGTAGGCTAATCTGAAAAGATGTGTCTTCAGGCCAGTCTTAAACAGGGAGAGAGAGGTTGTACACGTGTATATATAGGTTGTATTTGTGTTTGTATTTACGTTCCCTTTTGTCATCACTTCCTGTTTCTTCACATGCAATTCTTTCGACAACTGTTCATCTTAGCGGCGGTAACATTTCTTTTGCAATATGTTACCAATGTTATCTTTCAAAATAAATGCATGAGTATTTATTACAAAAATTTGATGTCACAGGCACTTTCAAACTAAGAAGCAAAGGCCTTCTCCCCATTCTACAAGATATACCCCCCAGAAGCATATTCTAGAACACATCATTCACCCGAGATGAGAAACACTAGCTTCATCTTCATCATTACCTTCTTCACTTAAAAAAATACAAAGACACTCATTCATTACCAAAACTCCTTGTTAATGTCCAAGTGGAGCAATGTACCAAGTCTATACGTCTCCACATGTAAATTCAAAGCAGTGCTAGCAGTTTTATTATGTTACCTCTTTGCATTTCCATATCGTGTAACAGTTAGTCTCATGAGAACAGATAAGATGATCCTTGGGCTTTATGGTGAGTGGATAAAGAAACAGCTATCATGCAAAGAGGGATAAAATGAAGTGCCTCCGGCTGAAAAGGCTCTCACTCATAATGTGATTTTGCTTCATAGGTAAAATAAAACATTTACTGTGAAAACGAAGGATTTTTGTAAAAAGAATAGACGGATTATGCAAGCTATGCTAAATCAATTTGTAATTAAAGATAAATTGCTTTTTACGGTTTTACAACAATATCTTACAAGATTACAATGTGCATAATGTGTACATCCCCCCACACACACACACATATACACACACACTTACATATATATACTGAATTTATACACTGCTCGTTGTCTATTTGTTCATTGGGGGAGAACTGAACTGAGCAAAAAAGCAAAAAAAAAAAAGGTGTAGGCAGATGAAAAAGAAGAACGAAAGGTGTCAGACTCTGAATAAAAAAAACTTACAAAAATATAGCCCAGGAAAAAAGAAAGAAAGAAAGAAATGAATGTGTGATCTTGAATCCTTGGAATTGCTCTTTTTATGTATTTTTCTCTACTGCATTTTTTTTTCTTTTTTGCTTTCTTCTCTTCTCTTCTTGAGTGTCATTGATCTCTGTGCTTGCATATCCATTCAGGTATGTTTCACAAACACTTTTCTTTTACACTATTCATACAAACGATGATACTGAAGAGCATAAGCTCAGGGAACACAAAAATGGCTTGATTAAAACCATGCTCTAAAGAACTGGTACTAGAATCTGGGATTGTTTACCCCTTTTCTGTTTTACAAAATACATTGCTGGGATAAAAAAAATGCTTAGACTAACAAATACTATTTTTATGTTAGTATGCACATGTCCCTAAGTAAATTTGTCAGATGCATGGACTTATGTTAATTTGCAGTCTGTGGTAAAACAAAAATGTGATAGATTAATCACACACAACAAAATAAGATCACAAAATGAACTTATTTTTTGCCATCTGCTCCTGCAAGAAGGCCAAAGCTTATTGTAATCTATAAATGGCCGAAAGATTCTGAAATTTGGGTTCACTTTCTTGTTCAAGGATACCAAAAGAGTACATCCATGTAWGAGGCCCAACAGGAAATTTTTTGCCACGATGCTCCATCAACAAAACTAGTGCCTGCTGGAATTTTCTGAATTTTGTTCAATCGAAAATAAATAAGTGAGGGATGTGTGTAAACAGTCATGTGACACCTTCGGGATTTCAGTTTCTCTCCAGAAGTCACATGGTTTTTGGTGCCTTTCATTTTCTTCCAGCACATAAATAAATAAATAAATAAATAAATAAATAAATAAATAAATAAATAACGTACTTCCAGCATAAATGAGGTGAACACAAAGTCCCACACATAGACACTGAAAGACAGTGCTGGAATCAGTATGTGATTTAGACCAGTGTGATTAATAGCATTCTGCGCACCAGTGAACAGATGAACCACAAAACAGCACAAACATTATCATAACCTGAAAGACCTAATTACTGCAGAGCACATCTGACAGACGTGTGTGTGTGTGTGTGTGTGTGTGTGTGTGTGTGTGTGTGTGTGTGTGTGTGTGTGTCTGTATGTGTGTTAGTGTGTGCTGGGAAGTGGGAGAGTAGAGGGACAATGAGGACAGAAGATTTATGACCCTTTTATGGAATGCAGTTCAGCGTCCCCTTCGTGCTTTTTGTGTCTTTTACCATTTGGGTGCAAATTAGGAATATGATAATGGCCATATTATGCATTATAATGACAATGCAGCCTGTGTACACACATGGGTAAAAATGCACACACACACAGGGTGCATCCATCTTCTTTGACCAGCAGAACAAGAAGGTGTTTCAAAACACAGGTGTGAGAATGAAGACAACAACAATTCATTCTCTTGTACAGTGATACCATGKGTTCACCAAGTAAAAAAACATCCCATAACTCATGAATAAAAAAGCCATTGTACTCATCTAGGTCCCCATTCTCACACTCAAACTGTAACTAAAACACTTCAAACATAAATTACAACAAGGAGATTAAAATAACTGTAATAAAATTTTATTTGATTATAATTTCATAATAACACGAGATGATCAGTTTTAGGAAGTCACACATGCATTGATTTTACATTACCTTCCAAACCAAATACTAGAACAGTAGTCGTTGATGTGAGAATATTTGCACCATTGTTCAGCAGCCTATATATACCACCTCCTCTTGATTAATGCACTTTGAAACTTAGCCTATTAAAAAAGGACTACTTTTGAGCAATTATGTTGTTTCTTAGCACAGCAGGGGAAACGGCCAACTAGCTGTCTCAACAATATTTAAAATTAGATAAAAAAAGATTACAAGTCATCTGTTGTGGTTTTTTTGTGTTATTCATGCTATCTTTCCAAAAATGCATTTGCGTTTTTTGTAAAAATATCTCATGCACTTTAAGCAAAGGTTTTACTCAATGAGTTGTTCTTAAAGTATGTGTTGTGAGTTATTTTTAGCTATGATCACAACAAATATTGTCACAGTATCTAAAGTCACATCCAATAACTTCCTACAAGCTACCAGGGGTGTAAATTGCTTTATCTCCTTCATCATGTTTCTTGATATCACAAAATCTGTCATGATACAATTTTGATGCAGCCAATCAGCCTATATAACATACAGTTTTTACTGCTTATCTTATTCTATTACAAATGATTATTCATAGAAATAACTCAAATAACAAAAATAGCATGTTTTGCATTAACATTTTAACTTCTGGTGGTCCCCCTATTTAAAAAGGGGGGATCGCAGAGTGTGTTCCAACAATAGGGGGATCACACTTCTGAGCCTCCCTGGTAAGGTCTATTCAGAGGTTCTGGAGAGGAGGGTCCGTCGGATAGTCGAATCTCGTATTCGGGAAGAGCAGTGTGGTTTTCGTCCTGGTTGTGGAACAGCGGACCAGCTCTCTCAGCAGGGTCCTGGAGGGCGCGTGGGAGTTCGTCCAACCAGTCTACATGTGTTTTGTGGGCTTGGAGAAGGCGTTTGACCGTGTCCCTCGGGGACTCCTGTGGGGGGTACTCCGGGTGTATGGGGTACCCATTGAAACGGGCTGTTAGGTCCCTGTATGACCGGTCCCAGAGCTCGGTCCGCATTGCCGGTAGTAAGTCGGACTCCTTTCCGGTGCGATTTGGACTCTGCCAAGGTTGCCCTTTGTCATTGATTCTGTTCATAACTTTTATGGACAGAATTTCTAGGCGCAGCCAAGGTGTTGAGGGGATCTTTTTTTTTAACTCTTAAGGACAGAATTTCTAGGCGCAGCCAAGGTGTTGAGGGTATCTTTTTGGTGACCTTAGGATCACATCTCTGGTTTTTGCGGATTATGTGGCCCTACTGGTTTCATCAGATCGTGAGCTCCAGCTCTCGCTGGAGCGGTTTGCAGCCTAGTGTGAAGCGGCCGGGATGAGGATCAGTGCCTCCAAATCCAAGACCATGGTCTTGAGCCAGAAACCGGTAGCGTGCCGCCTCCAGGTCGGGGAGGAGGTCCTGCCCCAAGGGGAGGAGTTCAAGGATCTCAGGGTCTTGTTCATGAAAGAGGGAAGAATGGAGCGGGAGATCGACAGGCGGATTGGTGCTGCATCTGCAGTCATGTGAGCACTGTACTGGTCTGTCGTGGTGAGGCGGGAGCTGAGCCAGAAGGCAAAGCTCTCGGTTTACTGGTCGGTCTACACTCCTACCCTCATCTATGGTCACGAACTTTGGGTAGTGACTGAAAGAACGAGATCGTGGATACAAGAGGCCGAAATGAGTTTCCTTCGCAGGGTGTCTGGGCTCTCCCTTATGGTGCGTTCACACCGAACGCGATTTCAGCGTCAGGAGCAGCAGGTTTACATACAAAGTCTATGGTGGACGCGCTTCARGCAACGTCGGGAARTKCTGYGGCGCCTCAAGCGCGATTAGAGCAGCGCGATTTGAACGATTTGAACGATCTGAGCGTTCGACGCGCTGAGGCACAAATCGCTGAAGTTAGAAAATCTGAACTTTTGCAGCTCGACGCGCAGCGTCAACCAATCAGAGAGACTCCACTGTGTGACATAGTGACATATTTCCTGACGGGACAGTTTACTAAATGATGTCCACTAACCTGAAACAGACAGAGCTCCTGCTCTTTAGCTGAAATGAGTGCTGCAGTCGTGTCCTGATCCGCAGCAATGCGTGGCAGCAACTCATCAGACTGAAAAAAATAGTCCTGAAAGCGAGCTGTGAGCCTCTTCTCTGAATTATCTGGTGAATTAATTATGAATTAATTATCTGATGAACGTGACATGCTCTGGCTCTCTGTAAACAAAGCAAAGCCACTTCCTCGTCCGACATTAAACAGCCCCACAGAGGAGGGAGGGGCGGGGAGGCTCTGCCGTGTAGCGCAGCTGTCCTGCGTCTGACCTCAAAGTGCACAAGCTTCAAACTTCAGCGTAGCTGTAGCTGCTGCTCCTCCACGTCGAGAGGAGCCAGTTGAGGTGGCTCGGGCATCTAGTTAGGATGCCTCCTGGACGCCTCCCTGGTGAGGTGTTCCGGGCATGTCCCACTGGGAGGAGGCCCAGGGGAAGACCCAGGACACGCTGGAGGGACTATGTTTCTTGGCTGGCCTGGGAAAGCCTTGGGATCCCAACAGAGGAGCTGGCCCAAGTGGCTGGGGAAAGGGAAGTCTGGGTCTGTCTGCTTAGGCTGCTGCCCCATGACCCGACCCCGGATAAGCGGCAGAAAATGGACGGACGGACATTTTAACTCCTTAGTAGGGATATCATGCACCCATCTAACACTATCATGTTACAATCATTGTGTTACATATGGGCATATGATATTGATTTACATCGGGCATATGATGATTGCCATGGTGTAATTGAATTATTAATCATTTAATAAATGCATTGATGTATATTGATGTACAGTATTGTTACACCACTACAAGTTAAATAAGTGGTTAGGCAAAGGCATAATCACTCATTGTTTTGTCTTTCAGCAGTGGCAAATAATAATGGTGACATTAGCAGTTCCATAGCCAGGTTTCTTACAGAAACAAAGAAGAAAAACTTCAAAACAATTACAGTTAAATTTTTCATCTCCTCATTCATGATGCATGAATTACACTGGGTCAGATATGGTACCAGCAAAAAGAGTTTGACAAGACACTAAGTTACGGCTGTCTTCCTCTTTGTAATTTGTCTTTTTTGTGCTCCCTGTCAGTTTTACACCATTTTTTTTAACTAAATCTTCCCTCAGGCCTCCTGACACCAGAACAGAACAGAGAGGAGGAGAAAAGGAAAGGCAGAGAAGATAAAGTAATAGACAGTGTGAGTGATCACAGTGGAAAAGACAGACTGCTGAGCAAGGAGGAGGAAAATAGCCAGCGATAGAGAGTCTGGAATTATTAAAGAACAAAAGGTTACAGAAAGATGCAACACACAGAAAACCAAGGTTCAAGAAAACATAATGAGTAAAAAAAAAAAGTTTCAAGTACAAACAAAATCGCAATGAGTGAAAAGGGAGGATGCACTTACAAGGTTGGTGTCCTGTTGTAAGTTTTAAAAGTTCTGATAAAAATAGATGAACACTGACATCAACCCCACTGTGATAGGATAGAGTTTTGATCAGCTGCAGTGAGAGAGATAGGACAGGTCTATTCCAGGGTGTCAGGTGGAGGTGATTGGCACAGCTGCTGCTAATTTGCTAATCAGTCTTTCCTTTTTATGCTGCAGCAGCCTGCTGAGATCCAGAGAGCAGACTGTGACACCTGCCACACATATTCTGGTCTCACCTTGTCAAACCACATGGTGTGTGATCTCTTGAGAGTAATCCACCGATACCCATTATTATTTCTGGAACACCAGCCACAATCACAATTTAAGTATGCAGCAATCTTGCCCCAGCAAAATGTGATTCTTCAGTGCAGGGTGCAGCTCAACTCTACACTTGTTGACTTTATTTTTGTCTGCAGATGGTATTCCTTCAATACAGGCAAGCTTAAGTGTTTCTGCTACCTTTATTAAATATGCCTGTAATACACAGAAATATTATGAGGAGTCAGAAGTTTAAAAACTTAACCTACTCAAGTTGAACCCTTATAGCCTGAACCAAGTGGTTTTGAAACTCAGAATGTGTGCCTGAAGAAGGTAATGTAAATGGTTAAATCCTAAGAACAAGATGTGTGCAAGCTCATCAATATTGCCTTCATAAATCAACCAAAGACAGGTATACAAGTGTCTACCCATCACCTTCTTGAACATTTTAATAATATTTTCTATTCTTTTGCTTGAGTTGTACAGTGAGGGCCAAATACCAAACTAACCCTGGATTTAAACTACAGTACATGCGTCTCCACTCCACTGCGCTGCGGTGCGCAGGTCGCAGCTGTTCGTTTATACAACCTCTGCTCCGCTCCGGTCTGACAGACGTGCAGGAAGGAGATCGCCGGAGCGGAGCGGAGCAGAGGTTGTATAAACGAACAGCTGCGACCTGCGCACCGCAGCGC